CTAAGGTGCTTACTGCCGTTATGGTTAGGAGGAGCAGTTGTGTTACTAGAGCAGTTACTAAACATAAGTATTCTTTTGAAATATTATCATACATAACTTTGACATACATATATAAATATTCACATTACAATTCTTCATTCTTTTACCTTTCTATTGATATATGCCATGTCGCTGTAACTTGCATAGTTTTGAAGCTAGAGTAAATTTTAATCTCGAAAACAGGTTTGACTGCTCTCTAACTTCGGAGGGCAGTATTAATGTGCCTGGAAAATCAATAACATTTTCTTTTAGCGATTGTCCTGACATGTCAAATATTACTTTTAATATTAATTAATATTTGTTTACTTTTTCTATTATACATCTTCCTCTCTTTAGTCTTTTATTATTTCCTCACATTTTTTTGAGAAAAATTCTATACATGCCTCGGCGGGAACGGGGAATGCTTGACTCGTATTAATACAAGGCCTCACTCGCGCTCGTCCTTATAGTCGTCCAGCAATCCCTTACTTCCCGACCTCTGCATTATTGTAATGTAACATTCTATTATTGTCAAATAGGAAATGAAACTATTTTTTCGAATCTAAATCTCTCAATCTCTCAAATCAAATGTAATGGCACAAATGCTATTATAAGTAATAATAGAAGAGCGGGACTTCCTGTCACAGGTGGATGACACCTACTAGGAAGTCCCAACCTTGTGTAAAAACAATTTAAAAAACAGAAATATTTTTTTTCATTTTCATTCATCATCACAGGTCCCATGGTCACGGCTGACTGAGATGGTAAAGTTATCAACCAGTTAGGTCTGATGGCGGCACTTCACATGGCTACGTGTATTCGCTATTGGGTGTTTGATGTACACATGCCAGTACATCAAGCTACACATTGACGTATCTTGTTCCGTTGCACTGGAGGCGATTTTCGTACAAAAATGTGTAGTCTGATGTGCCGTTGTCCGTACTTGGAAAAATATTTGACGTACAGGCAAACATGCAAACATTGACTAATATGACCGTCTACGCATGGAGTCAAAATAATGAATATGACCATAGTGTGGACGGTTTACTTGCGTATTTATCTACGTGGCTCCTTTCATACGAGTCCAGAAACCGACCAGCGCGCAGTAACGCGTGTTTGGTGTTAACTGTATTTACCGAGTAGTAAATAAGGCAAGTACTTTGTCACACACGCTTTTTAAACATGGTAATTGTTTGCCAAATATATATTAAATACGCAAGGACAAATCACCACGTGAAGTGCCACCATAATATTAACATTTTTGTGGTCTGTGTTAATGCTCAACAAGAATATTCGAACAAATTTCATTTCCTATGTGTAACAATCGCGAAAACCTAAGAACTTCATTTTGTCATTAAAATGTTTTCCAAATGAAAAAGAAAAAAAAATGTTCATCGCTTTTTTAATGACCATTTCTAAAGTGCCATTATTTTGTCACAAATAGTTCAAGTAAAAATGCTTGCTTTCATCGATCAATAGAAAAAACTTTTTACGACCATTTAATCTTGGGTACAAGCATTAAAACACTAAGGTCTTTGCCTAAAGCCTGCTATTGGGAGGCACTTTGTTTATTTATAGGAGTTTGATGAACTTTAAACTCTATGGCGTTGTAAAATTTGTTATCTGACCAGTTTAAATAGAACTTTTGATCAGGAAGTAAGTACCGTGAAATTGTCTTTAGGTTCGGTGGTTGATGGGCGGCGAAGAAGGTCTTGATTGTTTGGTGGTGATTTAAGAGTGAGGACTGGCAGTGTTGCTACAGATTGTTTGCGTCGCAGCGGTTTATGAAGGCAGATAATGGGGGTGTAGGAACGGCAGATGGTCTTGCTTGAGGCTAGGAAAAGAACAGTTTGAAAAATTGGAAATTATTAGGTACCTAATTTTTTTTTTCAGAAACATTCCGTTTCTGAACAATGATATATCGATACGATTGTTTTCTCTGTGAGGGATTCGCTTTGGACCTTTTGGAGGGAAAAGTGTCGTTTTTATTTTGACTTTCAATTATTTTGTGAAATCTAGTTTAAAGTGGAATAGAATAGTGCTATTGTGCCTTAATCGAAGATTAAAACGCGGAATTATATGAATCTCGAACTAAAATACCCGTATCGGCCCGTTTTAAGGAATCCCGAGTCAATCCAAGCACGCCGCCTCAAATTGCCTATCCTCTTTGTGGCGGCCATATTTACAGAAACATAATTAAACTTCATGTTTAGGCTGATGGCTTTGCCAAAGCCTTAATAATTAAAAAAAAAACAAATTTTCTCTGTGATTTTAAATTTAAATTGTTGATAAATGAGTACTTACAGTGCTTCTATTTTCTCAAAGTCACTCGCCAAACACCTCCGTTTAACTGCCTCCGTGGCCGAACGGTTACCATACCGGACTGCCACGCAGAGGTCCCCGGGTTCGATTCCCGGACCGGGAGAAATATTTGTATGGCCTACATTTATTTCTCTCGTGAGTTTGGGTGTACCAAAGACAAGCCATTATCGCCCGTGATGAAATTCGTGTTGAATAAATGCGCGCTTACCCTTACTCTTCCAAATCGGAACGCAGCGATGCTCACATTACTGCTTGGCGGCATTATATATATATTTACTACTTCCCTGGACGAACTCTTTCACAAGGAGCTCTAGTTGCACGGTCATAAAGGACCAACTTTCCGTGTTCGTTTTTTGTAAATAATGCTATCATTTCCGAGCATGTTTGAGAAAATACATTTACCTGTTTTGCTACTCGTGTTTCCTGGCCCATACTGCAGAATCTTTGCTGTGGATGAGTCAGCGAGAGATATTATTCCGCAGGTCTTTGTCGGAAACTTTCTTGTTTTACTTTGCTCTGCCTACGATTACAGGCGAGGCCTGCGACGTTGGCACAAATACAAGTGGGTTGTGTTTTGGTTTAAGTATAATTTCTTGACTTCTCCATTTTGGGTTTGTCCTTGTAAAATATAGTATACAGCTCAGATGGAGGAAAAACACTTGACAGTTGACCTATTTCGTAGGCAAGATGAACCTAGGTTACGCAACAGCAAAAATCGAGTCAGTTAATTAAAAACAAATCATTTAATAAAACAATACAGATTGTATGCAGCTTCATATTAATTGACCATTTAGTTTAAGTATACTATTTATTATTATTATTATTATTTTGCATGCTAAATTTCATCTTTATTTTATTTATTTCTAAAACGAATTTTATAGCTTTTACATTGAACGTAATTTTATTTTTTATAATTTTCAGTGGCAATAAGATTTGTTTTGTTGTCATTTATTTTGTTTATTAAAATTACAATTTTATGCTATTTATAATTAGTTTTTATTGTCAGTGAAATTTATTTATTAGTGTATTTGATTTAAATTTTAAATTTTAATTTTATAACTTGTATATGGATTTAATTAGTTCGAAATAAATGATTTGTTTTAAAGATAATTTCTCAGAATTTTAGGATAGTTTTCATTACCCAACCATCTCATAATCTACTGAATATAACTTTCTCTAAAACATCAGTTGAGAATTAGATAACGGTAAAAGGTCGTAGAATACGTAACGTGATTTTTCCCGTCCCGTGAGGCTCGCGATTTATTGTTAATATCGTTATATATAAAAACATAGTATTTAAGTATACGCAACGGGAACGGGACGACGATATTTTGTCCGTTCCCGTCGCGTTCCCATCTCCTTCCCGTCCCTTCCTCGTCACGTATACTGCGACTTAAACACAGCTTAGGACGCGTTCTATTATGTCGTGCCGACAGATAGTAGTGCAGTTTAAATAGTCGTGACTCGTCTATATAAATGAAGTTGTTCACATATAGTAAAACACGATTACCCGTCGTTTTCGATTTTTTTGTCGTTACGACAACAGACAATGTCGTGACAATGAGAAGAAGTAGTACGACAGTCATATAAATAAAACGTCACGATAAAAATGTCACGATAGATAATCGCAACTTTAAACGATTCTGTCGTGTAAACGACAACGCGGCTGCCGCTAAATTATCGTCATGATCTAGTGGAAAGAGCTAAACACGACAATTGTTCATCGATAAAACAAACGTCCATGACACAGTCACGACAGATAGTCGTGATATGAGAACAGGCTAGACGCGACAGTCGTCTAACTATAACTAAAATTTTACGACGTAATGGGAATGCACCCTTACGGTACATAATGGTAAAGGAAACAAAATAATGCAAGTAACTTGTTTATTACAATAAACATGATACAAATAGTACAAAAGTATAAAAACCTTAATAGATCTAAAAAAAAATTACCAATTACATAATTACACTCATGGACATATTTAGAGAAACGCCAAAAAATAAGGTTGAATTGATAACAATGTTCAAACCACTGGCCACATATATCCTAATATACGTTTAATACGTAACGTTTAATTTAAAAAAACAGAATGACGTCAATCTTTTTTGATTTCCAATAAACGTTCTAGTGTGCAGGATTATTTTTAAAATACTAACAACTTTGCAGAACTAGATTACTAACATCTTAAACAAGAACTTTTGTCGTGTGTCTTTTGACAAAACAATAAATATACCAAAAATAAAATTTTAGTTTTTTTTGTAACATCTGACATTTTTTAGATCTGTATTTGGTCTTAGAGTATGGAAAAATTAGTTTCCATAGTCTAAGATATTTGGTAGTAAGTCCAAACGTGGAAGCGTCCTTTCCGACGACTGCCGCGTTTTGCATAGTTATCACCGCTTAGAGGGATCTATTTAAATATTTATATTTTTGTATGAAAGTAAAATCTGACGAATTATCAAAAGTCATGGAACACAAATTGTTGTTTATGATGTTAGTAATACAGTCTTGCGAGATTGTTAGTCATCATCATCATTATCAACAGTCTATCGTAGTCCACTGCTGGACATAGGCATCTCCCAATGTGCGACATTTCGCCCGGTCCTCCTGTTGCATCCTTCTGCTGCCAGCAGCCCTTCGCAAGGGCGTCCTACACTACGTTTGCCGAGCCGTGGTCTCCACTCAAGAACTCGCTACCCTCATCGGTTATTGATTCTTCGACAGATATGGCCAGCCCGTTGCCCACTGAGATTGTAAGTATTTTACAAATAACCCTGTAAATGGCCAGTGATCCATTTGAACATTATTATCATGATTAAATTTTTCTTTAGCGTTCCTCTAAATATGACCATGATCGTTGAAATTTATTTACACCAGGAAAAATAGTAATGTATAATAAGCACAGGGAGTTAAAGTATACAAGTAAGGTACAGTAAAAGCTTAAATACTAGAAACTATAACAAGAATTAAATTATTTGAAGAAAGTTCACCCTTTGTATGCTCATGCGTTGGGCTAGGTAAACTACCGGCAGTTGGATTTCCTCGCCAGTTTATTAATTTTTTGGAGAAAATTTTATACAGATGAAGAGCACCGGGACCCCATGGGCCAAGGGTTTCGACTCCAAAGGCTATAAATAGGTAATCGAAACTAAGGTCCCGATACTTATTAATTGTTATTCTTTCCGCTTGCTCAGCTGCGCAGCCAGCCCTCTTACTGTGTTTGTGTGTGTGTGTGTGTGTGTGTGCTGGAGATGGGATGGGGCAAGTGTGTCAACACACGTGGTGTCCCATACCACAGCCTGGTTCATACTCTAAGGGATAAGAGTCATTCCGTCCAGGCGTTTGTCATCACTTCGCAACACGCTTGGCTCGAGCATAGCGGTGACGTTAACCGTGGCTAATGCCCGGCGGATAATGTCGTTGAGGGCTGCATGCGCCCGACACTCAGCGGACAGGAAAGACCGTGGTGACCCAGAGCATTGCACTAAAACGTGTAATAATCTGCTATACATAATTACGAAAACAATAGAGTAAATCGTTGGCCACCTATCGCTTAACCTCAGATAAGATTCTGGTCAAACGTTCATTTATTTTGTATAAAAAAATTGTTTTACTTGACTTTTTAAAAAACATCTGCAGGTAAATATGAATGTAAAACTAAAAAAGAACCGTTTTTATTTTGGTGGTTTTATCATTATTTATAATACGGTAACCATTCCTCCTTTATAAAATCTGAAGCCTTTTCCGCAATCATAAGTGTAGGTACATTTGTATTGCCCCTAACTATTTTAGGCATTATTGAAGCGTCTATAACTCTCAGTTTCTTTATACCATACACTTTGAGTCTTGGATCAACTACCGCTTCATGGTCCCATTTAGGCCCCATTTTACAAGTTCCAACTGGATGATAGATAGTTGAAGTATATGATGTAAGCAAACAAGAAAAATAATCATAAGTTCCCCAAGGGAACCCTATGCAACCTTCAACTGGTACTTTCACAACCCTAGCCCCAAATGCTCTAAAAGCTTCAGTTTCTTCTAAACTTACAGCATATTTTATACCGGCTATTAAAGTATCCAAATCTTCCTTCACTGTGAAGAAGCGTGAATATATCAACGGTTGGCCAAATACAGGATCTGTATGGTTTAAAAGTACGTAGCCTCTGCTTTTAGGAGTCAATAATAAAGGCCTAGCCGCCAGACCATCATAGAAACTGAGAGGAAAAATATTTGTAGCCACAGCTGTCGTTGGGTCCGAGTAAAACTCTTGAACATTCCTCGCATCGTAATGGAACTGTATATCAGGCGCGTCATCATGAGCAAAAGGTGATTTAATAAAAGCTACAGCATTCAAAGTTGAAGTAGTTGCTAAGGGTCCATGTTTCTTACAACACTGTCGGTGGTAGTCGTAGACTTCGGCCATTAACGTTTCCTGATCTACCATTGTTGAAGTTTTGTTTGATAGAGAATATATAAGAGCATCAGTAGTTACATGATCTTGTAAATTGAAACCTACTCTCAAATTAGCGAAAACAGGAATATTAAGAGTCTGTAAGTGTTCTGCAGGTCCTACACCCGACAACATCAGTATTTTCGGTGAGTTTAAAGCACCAGCGCTTAAGATCACTTCTTTTCTAGCGAATGCCGTGTGATAAACACCATTTTTTATGTACTGTACACCCACCGCAGTTTTACTTATTGGATCAATAATAATTTTAGTTACAAATGCGTCAGTGACAATGTTAAGATTCGGTCGTTTGTCCCTTATAGGTCTTATATAAGCAACGTTAGCAGACCACCTAGTTCCGTCTTTAGAAGTAGATTGTGCTATATCAGTGCCCATTTGTTGAGGACCATTGAAATCGGTTACAGGAAGACCTTTTTCTTTGAACGCCTGAAGTAACATCATGGTGTTAACGTCGACATATTCAAACCTTTCCACGTTAAGTGGGCCTCCGGTTGAATGGTAGTATTTATCGTGAGCTTCAATGTCTTGATTATTTTCCATTTTCTTAAAATACGGCAGCACCTGAAATATGATACAAACACTCTTTTGGTTGTCAGAAGAACGTACAATTTTGGTAAACAGAATATGTAGAAATACCTTTAGGATAGATATTATTTACATACGTATAATAGTTAGCCTATATAGGTAGCCCATATTAAATAAGCATAGGCCTCCTTAACAATAAGAGGTCTAGAGCTTTAGCTCCCACGCCGGCCAACATCACATGCTACATCAAATTGCTTTGCAGAAGTGTACGGGTTTCCTCACGAAGTTTTCCTTTACTGAAAAGCTTATGGTAATTTTTAAATTAAATTTCGCACATAAATTCCAAACGCAGACATCTACATTTGGAATGCACCTGACTTGCACCTGCAAGTCCGGAATCGAACCCACGACTTATGCTTCAGAGCCGGTAGGTAAAGCATTAGGTTACAACGGCTGTTTATCTACTTATACCATACCCAAATCCATATACGAGTCATTACTATATCTCGTATCTTTCCTTAAAACGTGTAAGGTGATGGTACCAATGATCTACATTTTAAGGGAAGTGTGTCGTTTTGTTTTTAAACATATTATATCAACAGTGATTAGTTTATTTAACTAATATAATCCTCAAAAATGAATGTCGCTTCCACATTTATATGGAAAGCGGGTAGGGAGTGGAATTCCTTGTCTGCGGATTCGTTCCTCGAAAACTTGGACCTTTTTAAGGCGAGAGTGAATAGGCATTTAGGTGATAGGCATATTTAGGTGAGCATGCTACATCGACGACCTCGTCGTCACTTTCCCCTCGGGTGAGATGGAGGTCGGCCTTATTTTGGTATATAAAAAAAAAACACTACCTAAGTACATCATAGATAGGAGATTTACGTTAGTTTACAGGAGATTTAGTAGCAGTGGAGCTCCTTGTGAAAGAGTTCGTCTATGGAAGAACTGTCACTTTACCTATTCCTGCCACTAAGCGCTAATGTGAACATTATTGCGTTCCGGTTTCGAAGGGTAAGAGTGCTGGTGAAATTACTGGCACATGAGACTTATCAATTTATGTTTCAGGGCATTCTGGGCACTACTAGTTCGTCTTGTTACATGGGATTACAAAAAAATCTAAGCTCTCCTCTCTGCTTACCTTGTGTGTACATGAAACCAAAACAGGTTATACATAAGATAGTTTTTATAATTTATTTTCTGACCGACTCAACCTGTGTTTATTCGTTATCCTTTTTTGCTATTATCAGATTCCTCCCATATATTACTACCACGGATCTCTATTTTCATTGTTAACAAGTTATAACTAATTTCGTATACTTGGTAGATTAAAGCCTCAAAAGTGCTTTTGTCGCATTACTGGTACATAAATAGTGCGAAGTACGGACAACAGCACATCAGACTACACATTTTTGTTCGAAAATCGCCTCCAGTGCAACGGAACAAGATACGTCAATGTGCAGCTTGATGTGCTGTTGACTGTACATGAAACAAACGTGTATTTAAATCTCAAAGAACTTAGGAGCACTGCCACTGCGCCTGTCACACTGAGATATAAGTTGACAAGTTCCACGTGCCTGCAATTTCACCAGCACCGTATTGCTGCTTGGCGGGGCAAATAGGTAGGGTGGCAGTACTTGTCTGGTCAAATTCAAAGACAAATAATCATTTATTCGTAAAATTTTTACATTTGAAAACGTCACTTTTAAGCTACCGCTCGTTCACTATGCCCAAGGAGCACAATTTATACGCCTTAAAACTGTTATATCTATAAACAGTCTTAATATGGTATAGATTTAGATAGCAGTCCTCTATAAATGGTTTTAGAAAAAAGAAATTGTTCTTATAGACTTATTTCACTCAAGTCGAAATTTTAAAACCTTCTGAATACCAAACAACTTAATTAAGTGTAATCTCTCTTAAGATTTACTTTTATAGTCCTTATATACATTTGCCGAACAATTGATTATTTTTAATCAAATTGTTTTATACACATCCAGTAAAGTATATTAATACTCTAAAAACTAGTGTTCTTAAGTTTATTCTAGATATATTTAATTTATAGACATTCTGTAGTATTTGTACTTATAACAAACACGTTATAGCACGTCTTCAGTAGGTTTTATTTAAAAATATACTACAATTAGGGTTTTTACTCTATTGGACGTTGTAAGAGTTCATGCAAAATGGATAAAGTAAAGAATATTAAAAGATCTGGTGGAGGTAGTGATTAAGACATCATTCGATACAATCAGCGTTGCCAATGCCAATTGTTCAAAATCCCCAAAAATCACGGTTATAATCTCCAAATTTGGGGAGAGCAAAGTTCATATTCCCCACAAATTCCCCACATCTCGAGTTTTCATTATTTATTAGAAATACATCGCTTAAAAATATAATTGTTCGGGATAATTTCAGGTTCTGATATGGATAGACGATAGGGCGGGCCGCAGCCTTTACTCCCTTATTAAAACACTTACTGAATTGGGAGATAATTTCCGTATATTTTAAAGGTATTTAAAAGCGAGACATTTCTTCTAGCAAAAAAAAACTAAAACAATTGTGATACGGACAAAAGTGACATACATCAATAAGGAAAATAAAAAATAAAATATTAAACCACGAAGGTTTCGCGACAATAATAAAGAATTAAGAAACTCAAAATGTTATAATATATTACGTTTGCAGTGAATGTAAAATGTAAAACTAATTATAAAATTAGATGACCTTAAATCGTTTATTTATTTTAATTAGATTCAACATTAATCACAAGGATCGGAATAGGTAGAGTTTTTTTACCTAAACAAACCTAAAAAACTTTTCGGGATTGGGGAAATCACTTACGAACATTAAAAATTGACGTAATGGAGGACAGGTAGGTTTACACTATATTTATCTTAACTTTGCGATGCACAGCGGGTCGGATTTGCGATATTGCGGACATTGGATTTTTTTTCACGACATTCCTCTAAAAAAACGCCAATCGAGAGATCCTATTGTCCTAATTAAATATTGTCATATCACATTTTGCCATAAATATAATAGTTTAGTAGGAAAAAAATTAAATGTGTATTTTTTGTATGGGTTACCTTTAACGCATCGTTACAAAGCCTTAGTCGATCCTTTCTTGGAATCACTACAGCCGTATTACTAAACCTATCTTCTATAGCTTTGCATACTAAATGCGCGCCCAAACCTACCTATTCACTACTTATACTGCATTTTTATTAAGTTTATATTTTATACATAAATATTTAAAATTTAGCGAGCGCACTGTCCGAGCGCTGGGACTCGGATATGATGTGTAGGTGGTTGCGGTTGCATGCCAGTGCATCCCGCTTCGTTAAGTAAGTTTAGTTATTTAATATATTTTTCAATTTGAATATTTAATTTTGGATTCTTTTTATTGTTTTAATTTTAACTTATTGATAATGAATTTTAAATTATTTTTATTTTTGTCTTTATGTTTTTATTATTCACCAACTTGTAATTAATCATTAAATGTAATTACTATATTCGTCTTACGTTTGTAACACTTTAGTATTTTGGTTTTAAAATAGCATTACTAAGAAAACTATCATAGACTATAAATTATATAAAAATTGTCTACAAGACTAAATAAAAACTGTCTACATTTTACAAATGGTCTTGTAGCATTCTAGAAGGGTTTCTTGAGAAAAAAATATAAGAATCACTCTTAACACTATCTACAGAAAGTTTCTCAAAGCACTTTTGTGATCTACTAAAAAAGTTGTGCCCACTTTTACTTTAAATTATTTAGAAACCTTCTTCGAGATACCTTGAGGGAATTTGAACTCTTAAAATATTCAATCGAATTAAATTGTATTAGATATCTTAAAGTATATATGGGTGTGCTGCTTGGGCGCTCACCTCTCTGAGAAGAACGAGCAAGAAACTCTAGGGATCACTCTTTTCAAATGAACTTAAATGCTGTGGAATACTCTTTGAATCATAATTGTGTGGAATTTAGACTCTTGTTGTCTTTTCATACTTCTTTATCAAAAACATACTCTTCAATTTTATAATATGACTTTTCAATTGAAATACTTTTAATTTAAGTTTTAACTTAGGAAATGATAATCTTAATATATTCTCCGGAATCTAATTCTAAAAACGTATACAGTTCCCCATAAAAGAATCGTTTACCTTAGTGAAACGAAATCGTGGTACCACGAATTTGAACTTAGTTCTATGGTTCAATCAATCAATCAAATCGTTTATTTGCATAAAACATGGTGGTCATGATAACACAGTAATATACATATAAGTACAAGCATGTTTCGCCCGAAGATAATTTAGGCATGCAAAATAAATGAAAAATAGGTCGTCACATGGTTACATTTACATTAAGTTCTATATAATTAATTTAAATTCTTTTACATAAAATTTATTGTAGAAATTCCCTTATACTGTAATATACTTTATTCTTTAACAATTCATATAATTTAGTCTTAAATAATGTAATGGGCAAGTGTTTAATGTCATTTGATAATCTATTGTAAATTCTGACACTTCTGGTTATTATGGATATCTTCTTTCTTAATGAAATTATGTATGTTTTACGGGCATGCAAAATATTTGAGTATATGTACTGTGATGCCACAATCATGATACCAGTCTCTTTAAACTTTTCTCTGAGAGAAACCCGAGAACCTAAACGGTACGCTACCACGGTACCTGGACGAACTCTTTCACAATTTTTAAATAAGATTGCATCAATTTAAAAATTGTGAAAAATCGCCCAGTAGCATCGTCCAGTTCTCATTTTGCAGATATGGCCTTGTTTCACAAATAGTGTGTTGTGTTGTTAACTCACCTCATGGTAATTCCACCCATGGTTACCCAAGTCAGCCCATTCATCGTAGTCTCTTCTGTTGCCTCTCATGTACACCATGTAGTTTAGAGCACTCGATCCTCCCATTGTTCTGCCTCTGAGAAGTTTTTATCACAATTTTAGTATAATCCAAATTCAAATCTTTATTTCGAACAAAATATCCATATAGTGTTAGTCACAAATGACTTACAAACTATGTTAATATAAATCCTCTAAACATTAACGTGTACTCGTACCCATTGATATAATATGGGCCCATCGTTCCTATCGGCTACTGTACGAAAAAGGCCATTGGCGCTGCCCCTCACTCTACGCATTAGAGACGCTACCCGCTTCCGCAAAATGGCGCTAAAGCCGTCCACTCGCGCTAGTTTAAAAAGATATATTTCAATTCAAATAGCTAAAGCTGCTTTAAAGTGCGTGACGGTGTGACCTCCTTGCATCGTCATCCCACCTTTTTATTTAAATTTCTTATTTTATTCTCATACTCGTATTTAAATTCAAATTTTGAATTGTTTCATTCTTTGCCTTACATTATCATTTTCTTTCGTTCCATCGTCACTCCCTGCCCGATCGCGGTAGAGAACACATCTTTTTGTTTTTTTTTTGAACCGTTTACCATTTTACTAAAAATCTGTGGTACAATACATATTTTAAGATCATAAATATTGTCAAAAGCGGAATAAATACTTTTAAAACTAGATTTATTGTCAATTACCCTTTACCCTTTTGAACTTTGAACTTTAAACTTACTAAGTAAGATGAATGGAGGCTGCGGAGGCTACTACTACTACTACTCTCCAGGCTACATTACTATTATCCTACAGAACGCCAGCACCAGCAGCGCTTCTACACTAAAACTATTAGTCATTATACAGTGCGTTAATTAACAAACGTTATGAGTTCTTAGCTTTTCACGATTACTACTTCGGGCTATAACGGGCTTTATCTTTTGTAGTCTAGAACCACGTAGATATACAGGGGACCTACTCCTCTTCTCCATCCGACAACTATCCGAAACAATTACTGTCAAATAAGTAATACTCGAAATTAAAAGATGCATGATGCGAATGAAGCTTCATACTTGACATAGTCTTTTTATTACTTATTTGACAGCAAATGTTTCGTACAGATGTAGAATATAATAATAGCAGTAGACCCCCAGTGTCATTTTTAAACTAGTAATAATCTAACAACACTATATTACTAACATTATAAACAATAAAACTTTTTTGTCATCAACAGTTACGTATTTCAATTTATATTTAACCATTTAACCATTTTAAACCATTTATGTCCACACACATTAATTACATGACAAAACTAAGCTTAAGAGATTAGATTAGATTATTAAATGATTTGTTTCTGGGGGACAGTCTCAGCATTTACTGAGCGGCAGAAGTCGCTCTGCACTAGCACTGGTTCTCAGCCTGCCCCCGATCTTTGCAAATACATTTGTAAAAGCGCTTGTTTCGCAAACTTAGTACTTGGTAACATTATAAAGCTAAATCTTAATAATTAATAAATAATTCCTTTCAATTAAATTTAACAACTAATCTCTATTTAAACATAATTGTTCATTTTATTCCGCTCTAACTGCGTTTCTAATCATCTTCTGTATGAATTTACCTATCCACGTTTATAGTATATTAGTGCACCCTAATTCTAAACCAATCTATACGCAGTAAACAAAAATGTAATGTTGTTTAATTATAATAGATCAATGACTATGCTATGTAATTGAATGTATTCATTAAAAATACAGTAAAGTTTGTAAAGCGAAGGTTAGACCGAGTTCATAGGGGCACCACCAGCGTACGAAAAGTCAGACGGAACAAAATGTTAGTGATGGTAACGAATTTTTTGCGGGAAGGTGAGATTGAAGAGGTGAATTGAAGAGAACTCGGTCTATCAGGAGCGGAGGAAAAAGGATTGTAAAGGAAGTGAGTGTTGACTGAATAGAGTTATTGAAAAGTGAATATGTTTACTTGTTTTATTCTTATCTGCCTATTTCCAGTTTATTATATTGAGCCTACTATCTGATACTTTTAAGGTTTACATATATTTGGTAGTAAGGTTGTAAGTTCAAATATGCGAGCCTCCTCACCGACGACCCCCATACCTGCTTCTTCGTTTTGCATACCGCACAGAGTTATCACGGTTTCGTGTAATCTATTTAAATATTTCAATTTTTGTACGAAAGTAATATTTAATGAATTATTATCACATGAAACAAAAGTTGTTCGTTACGACGTTAGTAATACAGCCCTGCAAGGTTGTTAGTATTTTACTTATAACCCCGTATAAGTTTTTTAAAACAAATTTTTATATGTAATTTCATTTTGAGGCAGTACAGTTTTCTACGTAAGTTGTTATGTATAGGTATATAACAGATAATAGTTAAGAGATTTCATGTTTATGTAGCAAATTCACAACACAAAAATTATACAATACAATCTACAAACAAAAATTTTTTAAATGAGAGACAATTCGCAACTTTGTCAACCGTTTGTGTTCTGAATTACAATTAACTACATTGTGTAACATTATTGTGTGCAATATTATGTGCGGTGAAAGATACAACACAGCTAGTATATGTGACATTTTACACTTCCACGTTGCATTATAATAATATTATAAACGTGATTGACAGGCTTCAAAGCTCTGGTCACGAGCTGAATGAACTAAACTAAGTCAGGGCTCCATCACTTGCTAAGTTTACGCGATAGGTGCCTACCGCTGAGTGTACCGACGTCCGTCGGCACAAGCGCTCATACTAGTCATTCATTTAAAGGCATTCGGCTCTGCACAACTGCACACGGCGGGCAGTGTTTCCTTTTTCCTCGTATAATTTTATATAATTTTACCTGCATTTTTCTAATATTCGTTTGAGAAGCCGCTCGCCAGAACTGTCTCGACTATCATGTTTGGCTGAGTGCTTTCTCTACGTGCATTTTCGCGACAAAAGAAATAAGCTTGTAATTTTTATTCTTGACTGTTTATGTCTGCATGGTGTTTGTGTATTGCTGACAGTGTGTTTTGGAGCTCCAAACAATAGTGCATAAAAGTGCAGAGGGCCGTTGTGACGGCATCCACCATCTCAAACGACGAGGAGTCGAATGCGAAGACCCACTTACCTTTAATCAATGTAGGTGGGCTTATATAGTTATCCGCGACCAAAAACATTACATTTTATATTTTGTCCGACCACCCACCAAATACAATATCTATAGAATCACCAAAATCACAGCGATTCGGTTTTCTATATTACAACTGAGATTACAACTTTCGTCAACAACCTATTAAAACGATTTTTCATCACACTTGCTCGTAGGTAGTAGTATAACGTGCATTAAAACTAGGCGGTATTTTTATCATACAACCTGTGATACAACTTTAGGGTAATGATTTTTTTTATTCCACTCTTAAGTCGGACCGCGGAATAACAGCGGGCTTGGGAACCTCCACCGTCTAGCACCAAATTCGCGCCGTTACACCAAAAAGCAATCTTTATTTTTTTTTGTTATTTAAACTTTATGGCACACAAAATAGTACAAAATATGGCGGACTTAATGTAGTTAGTCTTTTAACTTTATTTATTGAAAACAAGTCAGATTTATATAACTTACCATTCTTATAAGATGCGTACTCATAACGGCATACATAAATTTAAATGATTTTTCTTTTCTTCGTCAATTTCAAGCGAAAAGTCTTAAAGCGTATGCTTTAAATGTTAATAATAATAATTTTATCATTTTATTAATAATATAATTTTATTAATAATAAGTTTCTGCTTTAAATCTGGCCCTCCGTTCGCAAATGCCAACTTGTGATACAATGTACTAATATGACATTTATCTCCGTTTGTAACGTTATTATTATAAAGTTGACTTACCATGGCCCGTCATATCACGATCACGAGGCCAATTATACGGGCGAGCTCGCACCACAGGCCCATACATGTGAGTTCGCACCGGCACGGGTGGCACTCTTCGCACGGCGCGTTGGAGCGAGCTCGCACGAGGCGGCCCGTGAAAAAACGGGCCATAGGAAGCCAGCATAACGCTGCTAGTGTAAAAATGTTCTTTGTGATATTTGTGGGTATGTTAAAATTACGTACATTGTGCAGTATTCCTACCTAACTAAACTAACTACGTTTCTTATATTACTGTGTATTATACTTAATTAGAGCATACAAAACAAATATGATGTTAGTAACGACGATACTATCGTAAAATATGTATGTAGTTGACTTACCATAGTGTTGTTTGAATTTGATGTGCCATAGTGTTGTTTGTATTTGATGTTGTAATGTAATGTTGAGGATCTCTGAAATCTGTTCTTTGTGTAGTGTGAGACATGGGAAAAGGTAAAAAAACCATTAATTTTCATATTAAAAAAATACTATTGTTTTTAAAATTGAATTTACATAAAAGATCTTACATTAACATTATCTACTATTACTTAATAAAGTGAGACTGAAGACTTAGTTACCTCAAAGTTCATAACAAGATTATTTTGAGCAAACATAAAAGAAATGTAGTCAAATCAAAGCATATATTTTTCTTTAGCTATTACAGATTTATCACACATAATACGTATTAGTTACTTTTTTATCTAAATATCCCAGTCTTCCTTGATCATATCAGAAATTTTTTCTCCAATCATAATAGCTACAGCATTAGTGTTAGCTCTTACTAAAACAGGTAATATAGAATTATCAGCTACTCTTAATTTTTTTATACCATACACGTTCAATCTAGGATCAACAACCGCATTTTCATCCCAAGAAGGTCCCATCTTACAAGTTCCAGAAGGATGAAAAATTGTCGCTGTATATCTGGTAAGTAGACAAACAAAATATTGACTAGTACCCCATTCTAAATGAGAACATGCTTCTACAGGTATTTTTATAAACTCTATACCATAATCCTTAAAAGCTTTGGTATATTCCAATGTAGTAATAAATTTAAAAGCATCGACTAGTGCATTTAGGTCTTCTTCCGCAGTGAAAAATCTTGAATATATCAGAGGTTGTCCAAACACAGGATCTGTTTTATTCAATGTTAAAAGCCCTTTACTTTTTGGTACTAAAAGTATTGGTCTTACATTTATACTGTCGTAGTATGAAAAAGGAAATATACCAGTCGCCAAGTACGTCGTTGGATCTGAGTAAAACTCTTTAAGATTACGTCCATCGAAGTGAAATTGTATGTCAGGTACTGTTTCATCTTTAGGCGCGTACTTTGTTCTTATAAACGCTGTAATGTGAACTGGTCCTGTGGAAGATAGTGGTCCATATCTTTCATTGTTATAAAATTGTTCAATTTCTTTAATAATTTTGTTACCACTTAACAAAGTAGAAGTTATATTAGTCAATCCCATTAACATTGCATCTGCAGTCACATGATTTTGTAGATTATATCCTACTTTTAAATTTTTAATGACGGGTATATTTAAAGCTTCTAAATCTTTTCTCGGTCCTATACCAGATAACATTAGTATTCTTGGAGAGTTCAATGCACCAGCACTTAATATAACTTCTTTTTTCGCATAAACTTTACGCCACACACCTTCTTGTTTATATTTAACTCCATGAGCAACATTTGTGTAAGGATTCATGAGTATTTTTGTTACTTGAGCATGTGTTCTAATAACCAAATTTGATCTTATCTTTCTTATAGGCCGTATAAAAGCTGCGTTACTAGACATTCTTTTGCCGTCCTTAGAAGTAGTTTGCGTAACCATCGTACCGATCTGATTAGCGCCGTTCAGGTCAGTTATAGGTAATCCAGTTTCATGAAATGCTTTAAGGATAGCTATTACGTTTTTATCAGCATACGGAAATCTTTCAATGTTCAAAGGACCTTCAGTGCCGTGGTAATAATGGTTTTTTCCATCAATCTCTTGGTTGCTTTCGGATTTTTTGAAATAAGGAAGGATCTAAAAGGCAACATTGGCATTTAGCTTTTTTTAATCAATATAAATGACATAAAAAGCTGACAAAACTATTTTTTAAATAAAGTTCAGAAACTACATATATGTAAATGAATCAATGCAAATGGAAGCCCCAAAAGAGGTATGTGAGAAATTGTTCTAATAGAAAAGTATCACTAAGAGGCAGATGTGATAATGTATGTAATTATGAGTATTGTAAGCAAAAAGCACGTAAAGCTTTTTTCTTATGCAAAAGTGAACCGTAAGGTAAGTGTTTAAATTTCATTTTATGCATAAAAAAACGGAAACACAAACATTAGCGTAAGTGTAAAAAATACTCGTATATCTTTGTTACACACATGATCAACAACTCGGTTAGTTATGATTATAATATTAAGTAAAAATATATTTGTTAGGGATTTAAAGGTTTCTAAAATATAAGTACATCTGCGTAACTCCAACCATAGTTTCCCAATTCCGCCCAGTTATCGTAATCTTTTTTGTTTCCTCTCAAGTAAACCATGTAGTTTATTGCACTCCCACCGCCCATTGTGCGTCCACTGAAATTAAATTCTGATCAGTTTTTCTTACCATTAATAACTACATACAATTCATTGTTAACAATAGTAATTTGATATCTCCAATGTAATTTACTAAATGTTTGTCATGGGATAAGAGTTAGAAACATCTAAATGTAAATTATATTTATATACATAAATAGCTAAACAGATATGCCATGGTCAGACAGAGATGTTCATTTTAATAAGCTATTAGTTATTGGATACGTTGAAAGATTAGGTAGCAAAAGGTATTATAAAGGTATAATAACAAAGCATTCTCAGGCATGCAATAAGATGTAAACGTCTGAACTCCCCTTTGTAAAACTCGAATTTTTTGGAGATGCTACTGGGACAGATGCCATGACAGCATGACAGCTCCAACTAAAATAGTACAAACGTATTGTCCTGCTGTTCATGTAACTAATACTTAATAACACACTATTAATTATGTTGTTGGCGCGATTCGTAAGTAATTTCAGTTTTATTTCACTTGTATGTCAAAAAACGCGTAATAAGAATTTCTATACAATTGAAATTATAGTTGAATTCAATTAGACTAATATACTCACCTTTCCTGTTTCAGTTTTAAGTTATTTCTAAACATTTTTAATTACGCGAACGTATATTTTTTTTATTCCAACCAATATTTGAACAATTATCGCTAGTTACAGGTTTTATGCTCAAGTATAATTTATATTTTCCCGCTATTTCAGAGCAGTTCAACGAGTATATAATGAAGCAGTTACACGCTTTATTGTCATAAGTTGACATAAAGTCAGACATATTTACGACCTTTCGTTATCGAAGACTACCATCATCTAAACTTCTTTTGGCGTTACCATATTTTATTTTTTTCCGGTGCACCACATCCACTTTACACGAAAATCCGCTTGATATTTAGTTTTTATTATTGCTATTGTAAATACTAAGCACAAGATTCCACTCACTAGACTATTCATAAATATCATCATCGTTTTTCTCTTATTGAGATAACAATTTGGAGTTGAGGATGATCTTCTATATGTCGGTTTTATTGCTGTTTTTATCAGCCACAATTTGAGTGAGTCAGTGATATAGCACCCGTTTGAAAACTTTATTAATTTTGTAATGCAACGAATTGAAATCGTCTCTGGCGTTAAAATATTTCCAAATCCATATTTTGTATTTAGAAAAAACTACTAGAAAGTTGGCAATTTTGGCCGAGAATTGCGAGTTTCAAATATCTACTAATCAAATGATTGTGAACTTGGTAAACCACGACAATACGCTGTCTATATACAATAACGCAGTATTATACAATTGTATTATGTGGTACTAAGCATACAGCGACGAGCAGAGCAAGCGAAACTCTACCGTGAGTAAAGCACCCATTTTACGGCTAAATCTTTTATATACTTAAGAAGATGTGTGCTTGTTTTGCTACTTGGAAACTACTGCTTTATTGTATAAAAGCACCGACTAGATGTTGGTTTCTAGACTATATTTTTTACCAAATTGAATTGATTACTTAGTATTCAAAATAACGCCTTCACAGGACTGACCTTCTGATTGCTAACCAAATCATATGAAGTCTTCAATGTTCGGATGCTTTCAAGTATCTATTTTCCTATTCTCATTATTGAGATCTATTTTAAGCATATCTGTAAGGTTTAAGCAATTGTCTACCATACCTTATCCATGCACACGTTTGTCCCCTCTGCGCTCTGCAAGTCATTTCCTCGGGTTGAGTCCTGTAGTTCCAATCGATATTAGAACGACCCAGTGTTGGAGCTAATGCTGGCACCATCGTCACGTCTGGTTCCTCTGGTCCTGCTTCTAGAAGAAGTACCTGCAACATTTTTTTTATCATTACTGAAATGTTCCAGTAAATTATTTTTTATTCCTTTTAATAAATTTATAAGGTTTCACTCCACAGGATGTGACAAAAAATAATAATTATTAAAGGAGGTAAATAACTTCGCGAGAATAATTTAATTCAAAATTTATTAATAAAATGTTTATTTAGGAGGTAGGAGGCATCAAAACTTTCTTATGGTTACACTTATCTTTATGCCTAAATTTGTTGGTGTCATCAGTACGATCACTGGGTGGTACACGGTCACGACATTTTTCTTTTACTGTTTTACCTATCTGTATACTTATAACGCAGCAGCAGAGCTCCTTGTGAAAGCTTTTGTCCAGGGAAGTACTGCCACCTTACCTATTTCTGCCGCCAATCAGTAATGTGATCATTACTGCGTTCTGTCATGGATGGGTAAGGGTGCTGGAGAAATTACTGGCACAAGGGACTAGAATTTACAGCTCATCTGGCACTGTAACTGCTAAGGTCAGAGGTGTCGCTTAATATAAGGCGCAAACTTTGTACGTTCCATTCCTTATTATCATAAAAATTAGATAGACGGCAGCAAAACACGAGCCTCTTGGCAGATGTGTCGGCGATAGTACTAAAGCTAAAACGGATTTAAATATTATTGTCACGTGTGTTCTGTTTTGTGAAATCGGGACACTTTTAAGTATTTTGGGGACAGCGGGTCACGAAGCCTCAAAGCGGGACGTATGGTCACGTTAAGTATAAGTAAAATAATACCAATCCACTTGTTATAACGTGCAGTTTTACAATTTCATAAAATTAGTTAGTAAAACGATCTGCGCCACTGCTGTAGCAGTACATTTGAATAAAAAACAACTCATCTCGCAGCGGCAAAGTTTGATTAGGTCTTTACTATCAAAATTAATTGCTTACGAACTAGTTTGCATTCATTTCGGCGGCGAGGGTCGAGTTTAATTCTACAATTTTAGTGCGATAAATTTAATTTACAAAACTGGAATTCCTGTTTATGAACACTGTTGGTGATGATAACTTTTATTTATCAAACACTTTTGTAATTACTTTGATTTAAACTTTCACGATTTTCACACATTATTTGATTTTTAGTTCGGGATTGAAATTAACACGTTCAGACCGGCGTGTACTACCGGTGGAAAACGGACAGCTGGTCTATCAGGCCTAGTGTACCACCGGTGGCCACACAACGCTTGACTTTTGGTATACTAATGGTCGTATTCTAGGACTCTCTCTAATGCTCAAGTCAGGATTGCACTGGCAACACAAGCACTGGAAATACGACCCTAATGGCAGGGACTTAAGTATGATTTCGAGTGCTTTAAACCATACTCAAATCCTGACTTGAGCATTGAGTAGAGTTCTAGAATACGACCCCCTGACACCCAGGACGCCTTGAAAGAAAGTGCTCAATTACATACCTGTATGTAGAATTATCGACTTCGAAAACAACTAGGTCGATTTTTAAAATCAGATCAGATCAGATAATAACGGAATTTCGATGAAACACAAAGGATATTTAGTGTGAATAATATCTGTATTATTTATTGACTTTTTTTTGTGAAATAACTCCACTAGTTTTGTTCTGATTATGAATGCAAAGATCGAACACACAGAAAAAAATTCATTAGACTCGATCCCACGTCCATGCTGCACCGTAGCATTGCTCTAACCATCTGAGACACGGGTCCAGTTACTGAGTCGTCGGAATTCTCCTGTGTGATTTTGTTATAGATCTTTGTACTCACTTTTCGGCATTCGTCGCCGCTAGTGACATCTAGTGAAAGATTTTTGAGTAACCTTCTCACCGCAGGCGATAACTTTACAATTAACACAACTGTTGCAGACGTCGCTTTCCGAAATTTTTCTAAGTGTTTGATATTTGTCTTCATAATCATAATATCTGTATTATTCACCCTCCTTCGTCCCTAATATTAAATATTGTAGATGGGACGTTTTGCTACATACATATAGATATTATTTTATTTTCGAAAGTAAGTACCTAATACAGAATTCAAAGACTGACAATTTGCTTGCTTTATCTGGGTATCGAACGGTACAAGTGGAAATAAAATCAATCCTGCTATATTTTTGTGATGCCAATGGAAAGGGTTAATTATAAGGACAAATTTTTAACAACAAACTTTATATCTTAATTTAAAGGAGGACTACGAAATATGAGTTTTACTTTTATGCCAACCTTCGGTGGACGATAGACTCACGACGGGAAAGTAGAAAAAAAGTGTTTAGATATAGAATTAATCAATGAATTAGATCGGTACCACCTTTCACACCGCTTACGAATTGTTTTTTTTTTCACACACCGTTTAAACTCGGTACGTCCCCCTTAAACTTAATACACACATCAGAAGTATCCAGAGTGCAAGCACGTGCTTGCCTATTACTGAAAGTATGGTTTTTTTATTATTTTTTTTAACAGTAAGATTTTTTGGTGAATTTTATAATTTGAATTTGAAAATGAAATTGCCCAAAAAATCCATTAACTTTGAAACCTTAAAAACGTACAATTTTGTAGCATTAAAAAATCTGATTTTCTGCAATTAGCAAAACATGCTTGATCTAGGGATTACTTTTGACATGTGTGTTGAATTTCAACTCTATGTCATTTATTATAATAAAGTTCAAAGTTCAAACAATAAAGTTAACGTTGCTGTAAACTGTAAATGTTATACTTTCGGAAAGAAAGAACGTAAAAGCCAAAACTCAGAATTTACAAAGACAATGTTAAAGAAACAATTGTTTATGTAATTTTTGGATATAATACTTTTTCTACGAGTAAATAAAATAATGAAACGTAACTAATATTTAATGAATAATTTGTTAACAATCCGTGATACAGCCTCTTGATATATTTAGAAACAAACGCTACAACACAAAACACTAAAGAAATAGAATAGAAGTGGCCGAGTATCGCTTATATTTAACCAATCATTTTTTTATAAAGGTTTATGACACCATTGCAAGACCTTTAGGCCGATTTAAATAATCAGGAGGCAGTAGAGCGTTTAAGTAGGGTCATATTTAATATTTTCATTAGCAAAGATACGACGTTCTATTTTTAAATGTTTAAGTTCAGTAGCGAGTACCATAGACAATAGACTTTTGATTCAGAACTAAAAAGAGCGTCTTTATGATTTGGTTTATGAAATTGTAATTAATAAATTAAAATGCAGGAGTAGAAAAAATATATTTATGTAAAATTAGTGATTTTTTTTGACAAGGCGAACTTTGGGTAGATCGAACAGATCGAAAGAGCACAAGTAAAACACATTTTTAATAAAGTTTGTTTTAAGCTTATTCTTCCCCGAATTATTGCTTTTTATTCGCCCAATGCAGTTATAACCTGTGTAATAAGTAACTAATCAACCAGCAAAATTTATCAGTACAACACTCTAACCACACAAAATCTGTACGCTACTCGTCTTTTCGTTACTTGGTCCACTACAACAATCGAATGGCATTCACAGTGCCCTTACGAATATTTGCCATACCAATATTTAAAGGCCGTTTAATGCCCCAGCACAACAACAACACTGCGCCTCAAGAGAATTGGAAAATGGTCTTATTTTTGTGTGTCTTAGAGTTTATTGTAATGTTTATAACGTGTGAGCCACTACACAATATACATAGCTCACTAGAGTGCTACTCGTAGTAAACTGAGGCACATTACAGCATATATGACAACGGTTTAAGAGTCTATACTACTTCAGCTCGAATTAAAACTTTTCCCATACTACTTTAATTCGGTGCATTTTGCTTGGGTCGAGACACTGGCATTAGTTCAGAATTTACGTTTAAGAGCGAAATTAAAGCTATTTGAAAAATGTATATATATATATATATACGTATATTACGTGTTCTGTTCAGTTTAATTGTTTAAAAAAAATCTTTGGTACATGTGTAAAGTACCTATTGAATGCAGCGGTTTTCTTGTAAAATTTCGAGATAAGTTTGTGTTTTTTTATCTATAGTAAATTTTTAGAAATCGTTTTTTCACACCATATAGTAAATTGAGGATATATACTGAACATCCTCAATTTTTTTATATATATTTATCGAGTTCTTAGGTTTTCGCGATTGTTACACATAGGAAATGAAACTATTTTTCCGGATTTAAATTACCTTACCTTACCACCTTACTTACCTTACCTTACCTTACGTGAGAGGTGTTACAGACAAGATCGGAGAATCCTCAGGCGCGCATCTATCAAGACCTATTTCAAGCCCCTGAGGAAGATTTCTCAGTTCCTGAGACCCGTGAAATGTAACATCCCCTTACAGGATGCAGGAGTTTACTAGCTTGACTGTGAGTGCGGTCTCTCATATATTGGACAAACAAAGCGAAGTATTTGTACCCGCGTCAAAGAACATATAGCTGATGTCAAACACCGTCGCGTAAACAAGTCTGCAGTCTGTGAGCATGTCATGGATAAACCTACACATTCAATGAAGTTTGACAAACCCCAGGTCCTTGCAAAAGAAGTCCGTTATCTGCCCAGGATGCTGCGAGAGGCCATTGAAATTAAAAAAACATCCTAATTTCAACAGGGAAGATGGTTTCTCCGTACCACCAGTTTGGGATCCAGTATTTCCTCTAATGAAAAATCCCAAACAGACATAATTTCAGTACTAATTAATATGTTTTAGTTTATTCTAATTTCTATTAATAATTAATAATAAATTGAACTTAATAAAAATTCATTCAATAAAATAATTTGTAAAACTTAATATAGCCTAAATAGGAATGTTTTCTTTGTAAAATTAAATATAAGGTATTTAATTAATAACTATTGTAACTATAGTGAAAAAATAGGGTGGTTTGCATCAATATTAGACATAATTGGTTGAAGACTGTACCACCTCAGTCAACCGTGACCACGGGACCTGTAAAGGGCCCGAAACGTCGGTTTGTTTGAAAAAACAAATATACGCGATTTAAACCCGGAAAAATAGTTTCATTTCCT